GAATCGTTTGTAGTTGTTTGTAGTGCTTTTCTTTTCGTTTGTAGTTGCACCGTTCAAAAGTTATTATATTTTTGCATTAAACAAAAAGTGTAACTTTGCCAATTTTAGAGATATCTCAAATCCGCTTGCGCCATCTTCTTCAGAATTGTTTGTAGTTGTTTGTAGTGCTTGTGAACGGTGCAACTACAAACGAAAAGAAAATCACTACAATCAACTAGAAACGATTCCACATCGAGTCCCGCAATCAGTTTATTTTATTATATTAAAAATATAATAACTTTGGAACGGTGCAACTACAAACGAAAAGAGAAGCACTACAAACAACTACAAACGATTCTGAAGAAGATGGCGCAAGCGGATTTGAGATACCTCAAAGTGGGGTGCGAGTCATTTTTTAAATGTTTATAACTTTTAATGTATTGAACTACAAACGAAATTTTTGTTACTACAAACAACTACAAACAAAATGCTAACGTTTTCCGTAAAAAAAAATTAATTTTTCGAAAGTCGGGTGCCAGGTTCACATAGGTGTCCGGCGACATATGCGTGACGCGTGACACGTGTCAGCTTATGATATTTGCGATATAATTTAATATATTGTGATAGTTTCGTTTATTCCAACAATATTCTTTGTAGATTCCTACGATATATGTATTAGAGATGTTATCGAATTGTATATATTATCCGCGTTACTATACACAAATTGCCATTTAGTGGCCATGTGACGGTCCTGACGCAGCGTAGATAGAGGAAGTTTGTAATTTAGTGTTCTTCTGTGTGCAGGTTCTTCCGTTGCGACAGTTTAACTCTCGAATAGGCAAAATGAGCTACGGTTATCAAGTGAGTATATAGTATATGCATTTGGTTTTATTGTTAAATAACTGAAGAGCATATTTTCAAACTGTGTTAATTCCATACTTCTAAGAAAGGAGAATAGAGGTTATATACATACATTATACTCCAGTAAGCAAAATGATAGCAGTCTGTCGGACAGATTGGTGACAGATTTGATCAGACGAGCCAGCAGACTGACATTAATTGCTCCGCATTCAGTTTATATTCTGCCAGCAGAGTTTGCTAACAATCAGACAGATTGACAGCAGAAATGGCAGCAGAGTCTACAGGTTCCAGCAGGATTTTGATTTCAGATCGATTTCTGTCGCCGATCTGCTGTCTGATTATGTTAGCAGACTGTTATACTTCCGCTGACATCATGTAATATACAATATAATCATGTATATCAAAACAAGCATCAAATCTATAGTCTTTCTACCGACAAAGGGCTGTGACATGCTTTTTATTATTGCCTGAATCTGTATGTATACATATATAGTATGTATCCATCAGAATGGTCTACTAACATAGTTTAAAAATAAGCTTATTATTCGAATAGTTAAATGAAGCTTGTATGGGAATGGTACTATTTATTTCTGTATCTGTACCTTGATATATCCAAGGGGCCACCTGTTCAGTTTCCGGGACGAGCACGACCGCCAACGTCGTTTGGGGCTCCACCTGGTGCACCCTCTGCCCCTGGTGCTCTATCCTACCCTTCGATGGGCTTCTCAAACGCGCCCCCGACATCTTTTGGCATGCCTCAACCATATTCTCAGGCTCCTTATCCGACACAGCCCATGCATCTCATTCCTGGCAGCGTACCTGCGCAAACCAATACTTATTCTCCGCAGCAAATGCCGTATCCTCAATCTATGCCCACGTGTTACCCCTCTAATGCACATTCCAATCAACCTACACCGTCCCCTTATCCTCGACAACAAAATTACAATACATATCCTAATCTTCAAGCTGCACCAGACGCTAAAGAATATTTTAGCAATATGGCTCCTTCCCCTTATCCCTCTGGACCAAGTACATACACAGCTAATACAATTCCATACCAAAGTGAAAGCTATCCCGGGGGGCAGGGGGTAGGTCCGAAATATCCTTACGCTGCTAATCCATCTGCTGCTGGTACGCGTGGTACTACCCCAGCCCCCCGGAGAGATCGGTTTACGCCTAAGGTGAGATTATGAATAGTTTAAGACTTTTGAGAAAGTTATAAACGAGATATTAAATATTCTTTGTGCAGGTATTAAATCAGCAGTTATTGTAATCTTGCAGAAAAGCGCCTTAAATCTTATGTTATTCTTTGCGTAAATTTTTTAAGGTTTTATGAATTTTGTTATAGACTTCTCCCACAGTGGTGCCGTATGATGGTTTTGATGCCAGAGCGGATGCGGAAACTTTGAGAAAAGCTATGAAAGGATTTGGCACCGATGAGAAAGCTATTATTCATGTACTTGCGAATCGCAGTAATCTACAACGGCAAGAGATCGCATCTCAATTTAAAACTCTTTATGGAAAGGTGTAGTTTGAGAATTCAGAAACTTGTTTTACAAAAAAAAAATTGGGGCTTAATACCACAATGTTGCTTCTCTGTTAACAGGATCTGATAAAGGATTTAAAGTCTGAGCTGTCAGGTAACTTCGAGAAACTTGTTCTTGCCTTGATGACGCCCTTACCTCAATTTTATGCTAAAGAACTCAACGATGCAATGTCTGGTCTTGGCACTGATGAGACAGTACTCATTGAAGTATTGTGTACACTGTCCAATCATGAAATTTCGATCATTAAACAGGCATATGAAGCAAGTGAGTTAGCCAATCGATATTAAGATTTACAAGATAACATCGGTCTGTTTGATTATCATACTGTTTAATAATTACAGTGTATGGAAGGACATTGGAAGATGATTTAATTTCTGATACGTCTGGCAATTTCAAACGCTTGATGGTATCGTTGTGTTGTGCCAATAGAGATGAATCATTGAATGTGGATAATGCCGCTGCAATGGAAGACGCTAGGCAACTTTTGCAAGCTGGTAATTAATAAAGAATACTTAAATAGTCACTGCTATATTTATATTCTTTTAAAATGTTATATTAATGCTATACAGGGGAGCTCCGATTTGGTACAGATGAGTCTACTTTTAACGCCATTCTTGTTCAAAGAAGCATTGCACAATTGCGACAGATATTTGTGGAGTATCATAACATAACGGGCCACGATATTGAGAATGCAATTGAAAACGAATTTTCGGGCGATATTAAGAAGGGTCTTCTTGCAATTGGTAGGAATAAGTTATAAATATATATGTCTAAGAGAAAGATATATACTAGAATCTACTAAAATCAATATCTTTCAAACAGTGACGTGTGTCAAGAACAGAACCGGTTTCTTCGCCGAACAATTGTACAAAAGCATGAAAGGTCTTGGTACCGATGATAGCCGCCTCATTCGACTGGTTGTGACACGCTGCGAAGTGGATATGGGTGAAATAAAGAATGTATTTGCCCATCAATATGGAGAGTCATTGGAAGATTTCATATCCGTAAGTTATTAAATACAAGAGCATCATATATTACATATTTATACTGACAATCTAATTTTCTCTTTTTTTTTCCAGGGTGACTGCTCAGGACATTACAAAAAATGCTTACTGGCACTAGTGCAGTCCTAAAATACTTTCAGATATGGAACTTATTTTGTTGCATTTATCATCTATCTTTTTACAAATACGTTCGACGTATGTATATATGTCCAGCCGTCTTTTCTTTTAATTTTTTAACCATTATGCTAGTGACAAGCTTATATGCTTTGAAGAATATATACATATATATAAATGAACTCATTTTTATATGCAGAGTTATATGAAGATATTTTGAGATGTATTTATACACGATGTGCAAGTACTTCGGTGATTTTATAAAATTACTAACGATTGTGTACAGATTCACTAGCTATGTTGATGAATGCTAAGAATTTCAAAACGTCATACAATCATTTACGATTTTATGAAAGTAAATGTGTGAGAGGTGACTACACATATTTTGAGATATACTTATATACGCATTAATTGCTTTGAAAAATTATTAATAAATACATTTAATTTTCATTTTTTATTCATTCGTCAACATATGTAATTAGTGATTCTATGATCAGTGATTTTATAAATGTATACTTATGCTAGTTGACTATGATTTACATTGATCGAATGTACATTGATATACTGTAAACGGTTCTGAAATGGTAACGATGGTAATGGTAGCAGATAAGCTTTTAACGATTGTGCCAAGACATACGTGCTTCATAGTGAATGTCAATCTAGACAAAGAATCTCACGAGAATTTATCGGCCTTCTTGTCATGATATTATGAAAGATTATTATGAGCGTGTACCTTACAGATTTAAAGACATTTTATATATATAAATGATATATATACATAAAGATTATATATATATTTTCTCGCATGGCATAATATAGCTTACATAAAAATGTCCAGAAATAGTTTTATATATTATTCTATATTTATAAAATGTATTTTTTCAAGTTATTACATACGTATGTATTATCCATTTTGATTACTGTATTTACTATGTCTATAAATAAAAATTTTAACTGATATAAGCGAAATAAGCTCTCAAAGCGTTGTTGAATATTGAAGATCCACACGACCAGCGTTAATCCCTGAGATTAAAGTTTCCATTACAAATTGTATAAATACAATGCGTATTTATACATATGGTGCGTATATATGTGCGTTTATATGTATTATATAATCTAATTAAAAATGTGTAGTGATTCCGGATCTCGGAAGAATAAAAAATTAATCTAATGTATTTATCTGTTAATTAGGTATCTAAAAAAATAAGGAGAGTGTATTAATCGTGTAGATACTATGTAGGGTGTTTTTAAAGTGACTACCGGCCTATTTTGTGAAATAATAGGGATTATATAAAACACCTTTAAGGGGATCCTATAGCGAAGGCCGAACTTCCTCGACGTCGGTAATGTCAACATTTCTAATCCTGTTTTCTATGTTATATATCTATGTCTGTTCTTGTCTAACCAGAGGCATCTGTCTTTGTTTGATTGCTGCGCCATCTCTCGCTACACGCAATACTGCTTATCCTGTCA